AAAGAAATGGGAAGACATGAACACCCTAAAGTCACCATTATGGGATCCCCATACCCAAGCCCAGTAATGACACTTGCATCAGCATCAAGACAGAGATTAATATAAAACCACAAATGAAGATTTGTGTATCCTCCTCTCATCCCTTCAAGGCTCCTTGGTCCTGACTTCAGCAATGTCCTGGGGAATGAGTCCCCAGGGCTCCCTATAGGTTCACAGACTTTCTTCACCCAAATCAGTATTGAAAATTAAACACAACAAATTCATCAAAGATCTCTGAGCTCTGTTCAGAGTCATCAGCACATCAGACTTCTGCTGTCTCTGCATCTCCTCTAGAGCAGACACAAGAATGTAGTTTGTCCTCTCTCCTTTGCACCCTGATTTCAGGTGTCCCTTTCCTGCCCAGCTTTCCTGAAGGAGAAAGGATCTCTGCTTCCCAATTTTCCCACCATTTCCTTATTTCTACTGCATCATCTATGAGATACACACCAAACATCCCACATAAAATCTCACAGCTTATTGTCCACCCTGACTTGACTACATCCACTCTTGGAAAAAAACTGGGATGGGGGGTCCCTGTCACTGTCTGAGCCTCACACAGTCACTCCCACCCAGCCTTTCTGTCTCTGCTTACTTTAAATTTCAAACATGCTTTGATTCAAGCCAAAAGCTTTTTATGCTAAACAGAAACTGAAAGTCTTGATCTGGCAAACAGAGGCACTGGGAAAATTGTGTCCATGGCAGGGAACCACTGGGAATGAAGGGAATGGGGTTTGTAAAGCCTGGTGCTCCCACGGAGGAGGGGGCAGGGAGAGCTTGGAAACACTTAAATGGCAAAATGTGTGGAAAAAGTAAGGACAGAGAGGCCAGGATGTTTAAGGTTCGTTTTTAATCCCTGCCAATGAATTTCAATTCTGTGCCAAAACTGAAGTAAACTGCTTTGATCTAAAAAGGAGGGGAAAAACACACACACGGGCTCTCGGCTTCTTAAAACAATACAGATGACAAAGGAGGTAACTACAATGAAAATCAACGCAGCACAGCTCTGCTGACAGTGACATTTTAAAATGCCCCTTTCCTCCAAATAAAGAGGTGTTTGGAGGGGGAAGAATTAGGAAACAATAATCACACAGGTCCGTGGATCACAGCATCAGCAAGCACACATCCCTTCCTCTGATCCCCCTCCAGCTGCCACCAATGTTTGCACCATTCTCCTTTTTTACCTGTTTATCAGTTCCTTAGATTTCTGTGGCCAGGAATGGGGCCTGGGGCTGAGCAGGTCTCCAGATGTGACCCCACAGCCCTGCTGTGTAGTGCCAGACCTCCCACCTCTGAGCTGGCCTCCCTTCTCCTATTTATACACCCAGCCCAGGGGTCCCAGCGCTCCCTAACCATTCCCAGATGCCAGGCTGGCCTCGCTCCTCATCTCACCCCGGTCCCATCAGCTCCCAGCTCCCTCTTGTCCTCCCTCCCTGCCATCACAGGGATGTCTGCTCCATTGTACTGAGGTTAATGACATTAGGATCCATCTGAGTTCCTGATTTAGGAGCAGGACCACCCTGCTGTGAGCTTGGGAAGGGTCTGCAACACCACTGCTGAGGACACAACCATCCAACCCCAGCAAACTCTGGTACTGAGATGGCTGACTACTGGTTCAAGCATCCTCCTAGATCCCTTCCCAGTTTCACAAAGCAATTTGACTCCAGCAAGTAACAGGAAGGGTAGAGACAGGGCTCACACATTTCATCAAGCTGGGAAGTGCCAGACACAGACTGAGGTCAGTTAGTTGCAAAATGGGTATGTCATGCCCAGGGATGCTCCTCCTGAATCCCTGCAGAGAGGCTAGAAGAGCCCATCCAGAAGATGCTCTCACCTTGCCTCTCATACACAGCACCAGCAAGTTTGAGATGCTCCCAGACAAGCCTGCATTTTGTCCTGTTTTCAAACCAGCATATGCACAAAGCAAAAAGCCTCTAAATTAATAGTCTCAGCTACCAAAAGGAAGCCTGATGTGATATGAGAATACCCCCAGGGAGGCTGCAAAATGCTAACCTAGTATAAATCCCAGCTCAAGAGAAATGGCACAGGGGTAAACTGAGGCATGGAGACAAGGCCTGGCTTGGACATGCAGTGATTCATTAAGAAGCTGGCCTGGAGATCCAGACCCACCCCACTGACCTGCCCCAGCCATGGGGCTGGATCCATCCCCAGGCAGTGCTTGAGGCCACAGGCCACCTGCAGGCCCAGGGAGGGACAGGGCAGCGCCCTCCATCCCCACAGAGCCCCTCCTGCCTCTCCATTCCCACGCAGGCGGGCTCTATTTATAGAGACCTCGGCCGCCAATTATAGATGGCAGCAACCAAAACAAAAGCAGGCAAAAGCTCTGCACTTGCCACTCGCTGGCTCTGGCCCCTGAGCCCAGCACTGTTCTTGTGGCAGCTCCCATATCCCAACCAAACCTCCCAGGCAGCCCCAGCACCGCAGTGCCAGGCTGCTCTCTCACAGCAGTGGTTTCACTGGAGACCACAGGGTGTTTTACCAGGAGAACTGAAACTTGTCCTTGGACACTCACAACACAGCAGCTCAATCCCAAACCTGTTTTTTCCTGCTTTCCCTCAGTAAGAGTGGTTTTGTTATCCTCCAGCTGCTGTAAAGAAGCATCAGCCCTTGTCATCATCAACCCCAGCATGAAGGTTTATCAAACAGCACCATCAGGGTGCAATCATGGATGTTCAGGATGGGAAGGCATCCCCAAGTGATCACACAACCTCCACATCCACCCAGAGTCGGGAGGCAGGAATTTCTGCACGTCTGAGCAGGCTCAGCTTAGCCAGGGCTCAGCAGAGCTGGGAACAGCTGCTGGCATGGTCCCTGCAAGAGGGGAAGGGGGTGGGATCTCCTGGGCATTCCCAGTGGCCAGGCTGGATCTGGGTGCCACCAACTGCGCCCAGGTTTAAAGAAGGAGACCCCAGGGAGAGTCTGGCAGCTCAGCCTGGTCCGAGGGGATGAAGGTCCAGAGCCTGTGCAAATTCTCCCCATCACAGCCATCATGCAGAACTCACTTTGCTTTCAGACTGGAACTATGGCAGAGCAAGGACAGACAGAACAACTGACACACAGAAAGAAGGTGACCAAGCAGGAGCACAGACTCAGGATCAGCTCTGGGATATACCTGGGCAGGTCTCAGGAGAGAACAGGACAAGCAGGACAGCTGCTGCCTGCTTGCCCCACTTTCCATGCCCAAAATGCTCCAATCCAACACCAAACTTTACCCATCCCATGGCGAAAGGTTCCCTGGGCCCAGTGCTGCCCCATTACATGGAGTCTGAGTTACCACAGCACCAACATCTCTGGGCACTCCCTGAGGTCTCCTCAACCTTGGCTTGTGCATTGAGCTGCCCCTCCACATCCCACTGCCCTCCAACCTGCTGGGAGCCAGAGGCAGAACCTCCCTGGCCAGGCACAGGAATGTCTCCACCAGCATCACCAGTCCAGGACTCCCCACTCAGGCTCACTCCTCCCTCCAATTCCACTTTTAATAAGAGCAGAAATTGCCAAACCCACAAAATTCATGTCTGAAAGGTCCAAGCGGTGCCATTCAATCCCAGCCTGCCTCTGCCTGGGAGGTCTCCTGTTGCATCAGACCCTCCTGGGATCCATCACACCACAAGTGGCCATGGGCCAGTGAGTCCAGGAGCCAGCACAGTGCTGTCACACTGCCCAGGACACCATCCCATGCTGCACATCCATTTTTGTTTGTATTTTTCCACTTTTTCTCCTTCTCAAGAGGAAAAAGCCCAGCAGGTGCCTGGAGAACTGTGGGATGCTCCTGCTGTCCTCTAGGTGCTCTCTGGCCCCTGTGGCACAGGACTGGGGCACTGCCTGTCTGCTGCTGTCCAGATGCAGCAGAACCTGGGGCAGGTCAACCTCCTCAGGACGTAAAACAGCAAAAAAAAAAATCCAGATTGTGTTTCTCAGCATTCCTGCATCTCTACCCTCAGACTGGGGCATCTCCCTACTCCACCCAGACACAAAGCACCCTCCTGTCAGTGTAGGACAGGAAACACCAGCCCAGTTCAGAGCCAGATTGCTGACACTGAAAATGTATTAAAGCCTCCACTGCTCCTACCCAAGACATTTAAATTATTTAGGGCACTTGGACCAACCCCAAGTAAAAATACAAACAAACACAGCATGAAATCTGAGCCACACTCGCCGTGCCTCCTCATTCCACTGTACCCTCACAGAAGGTACTGGAGGAGGACCAAGGCACACTGACCTCGCAGGGAGCCTCCCTGCCACAGACACAGGTCCCTATGTGTCCCTGTCCCACAGGTGTGCTCTCTCCAGCTGGCTTCCTGAGCCTCCTGCCCAGGCAGATCCCAGCACATGGGGGTGTCCACTGTGTTATCCTGCTCAGCCTTGGGCACCCTCCCGTGGGCTTCCTGTAGCCAGCAGGTGAGATCAGCAGTGCTGGGTGCTCCTGGGACTGACCTACTCTGTCAGCCCCACTCTGCAGCTCACAGTGAGTGGGTTTCCCTTCCTTTGATCCCCTTTTGCTGATGGGAACAGTGCTGCTGACAAGCTGCAGTTCCAGGGCGGGCAGGCGGTGGGAAGGCGTTCCAGCTGACCTACTTTCCACGGACATTGCTAGGCAGGCTCCTTCTCGGACACTGCCAAGGTGATTCACAACAACCAAAACCCAGCTGGCACCGGGAAACTGGGCAAAAAGGCGGGGAAATGACCTAGGGGACCCCCTCTAGCACTCCCTGCCAGCGTAGGATCTGTCAGCAACTGGTGAATCCCATGCCAGGCGGGACTCGCACGCCTCCGAAACACCCACCCATCCTCTGCAGAGCATCCACTGAGCTCCCACACAAACCCAGCCTGGCACAGAGCCAGACCCAGCGAGCACAACTCTCCTCCAGCTTGGCAGAGCACTCCAAGGGCAGCAGATAACCCAGCTGATCCCCAGAGCCTGGGCACAGCTGGGCAGCACTCACCATCTCGTCGAGGGCATAGCGCAGCAGCCCGTGCTCGTAGAGGATGAAGAATCGACGCTGCCATTTCTGCAAGAGAAGACATCGAGGTGGGTCATGGCAGTGCCCACCAGCCCCTGGGCCTTGCTGGACATCAGCTGGCAGGGCTCTGACAAAGGTCTGTGTGCACCAGTTCACATTGCCCAACACTGACTGCCTTGAGCTCTGGCAGCCTTGGGGCCTTCACCATTCCCTGGGGAGCCTGTTCAGTGCCTGACCACCCTCTGGGGAAGAACCTTTTCCTAATATCCAAACTAAACGTCTCATAACTCAGGTTCATGCCATGAATGCTGGGGACACCGGAAGGATCCCCAAACTAAATGCTCTGAGCCCTCAGCTTCATCCTGCACCATCAATTCCAGCATCCAATGCTGGAAGGTGACAGGGTGTCATAAGTCAGATGTCCCCCAGCAGTGCATGAGCTCAGTTTGGATGGTAGATGCACTTCTGGCATGGCTCTGCCCAGGCAATCCTGGCAACATGCTGGCACTGCTGCCTCTGCAGCTGCACAGCAAATCAGACTGGAGAACTGATCTGGCTGGAAAACTGCCTTTTTTTTTTTTCATGTGTGCCAGGTTGTTTTCAGCCAAGAGCAAAAACTGGTTGAGCAGGCTGAAATAAAAAAGTCCTGGATTCATAGCCCCAGTGCAGCAATTCTTATCTCACTTTTCTGAGCCCTTTGGGCAAAGTCCAGGGTGCTCAGGGACAAGCAGAACTATGGAGGACCTTGTGGATCTCCACAAGCCCCAGCTTAGCAGGCAGCCTGGGTTCTGGGGAGAGCCCGGTCTCACGTCCCCTTTATGTCAGGCCAGCAAGACTATGACAAGCTGTGACTCCAAATAATGACTCATATACCCCAGGCTGAACTCAGAACCCAATTCTTGTTCATTCAGGAGCGATTTTTTTATTACAAACAGCTCCCAGAACACTTTGGCTGCGTGACAGAGGGTTCACAGACCATTGCCATCCCTCCCACGCACAAGACAGCCCCATCCTGGCAGCCTCAGCAGCAAGCTCCCTGCAAGACAAGCTTGGGGACAGGCTGGAAGTCCTCCTCACAAGCCAGCAGTGAAAGGACCTCAGCCTGGCCACATCCTTCTGAGCCTCACACCCCACCCAGGACAGGAAAATGGGGGATGCTCTGACCCCACAGGATGCTGCTGTTTTTGACAGGCATGAGAAAACCCCTTTGGGAAGGATCTGAGCGTGTCCTGCTCTGTCTGCAGGTCCCTGCTGCCAGCACTTGGCTTCATAGCTATGCAGGGTTATAGCAAAAGGGAACCACCACTCAACCCCTTCCTTGCTGCAGGACCTGCCTGACACTGGCATATCCACACTAGGGGATGGGATGCAGCCTCCCTCTAGAGCTCTGGGCATGCTCATGATGAGCTGCAGAAAATAGAGAAGTTGTTTCCAAGCCCCTAAGGAAAACTAAGACCTTTTCTGATGGTCACAGCACAGCTCAGAGTCACACAGCACACACCCCATTGGCCTGAGCACCTTCCTGGCAGCATGGCACATGTCAGGCAAACCAGAGCAGCATCAAAACATCAAAAAGCAAAAGCAACAAGCAATAAAATTGCACAGACTGAGCCTGACCCACACCTGCAGTGCCCGAGGCTGCTGCCCAGCATTGGAGACCTTGCATCCCAGCGAAGGCATTCCAGCCTTGCTGCCAGAAATATCTCCCAGCTTCCTGGTTTGCACAAGAGAATGGGTGCACGGAGGTGCCTTCAGCACTCCCAGGGTCACAGCCACCCCCATGGGCAGGGACAGTCCTTGCTGCTCCCCTTGCCACCCCCACCAATGTCACGGGGAGGGGATGTCTCAGCTTCACTTACCCGGGAGCGATGGACGGGGTTGTCAAAGTCCGTTCCTTCCGGGGCCAGCAGCAGCCAGCCACCATAAATGGGTTTGGCCTGCAAAGAAACAGCAGAGAAACACTCACACACAGCGGAAAACAGCTCAAAATGGATCAGCACCACAGGGAATCAATGGTCAGGGACCACGGGAAACTGCAGCAGCCCCAGCACGAAGGCAGCTGTGTGAGCTCAGCCTACTGCACACAGGCAAACTCAGTAGGGAAACCCAGTGCAGGGAACGTGGTGTCTGATGGCAACCCGTGCTGTGACACACACTGTATGCCAACGGGACTGAGACGAGGACTCGGGAGGAGGCAAAACCCCAGACACAAACTCCAAACACAGCTGCTCCTGCATGGCACCGTGCCCGGAGCACCAACCTCCCGGGTGCTGCCGAGCGGCAGAGCCCATCCCCACCACGGCTCTTCCCATCGCCATCGGCAGCGTGCCTCTTCTCCAAAGCAAAAACACACTCCAAAGGAGAGCTCGATGTTTTCCGTTCGTTAATTAAGAGAGGAAAAACTACCCAGCGCTGGCAGTTCTCCAGCTCCCAGCCGCTTCCCGTGCTGTGCACATCCAACTCCTGCTTCCCTGCAGGGGCAGCCCCTGCCAGCCCGCTCCCCCCGGCAGCAGCGTCCAGCGGCCCACGGCGAGCACACAGGAAGGTCAGAGCCAGGAGGAGGGAAAATTCAGCCAGCCGGGAAGAGAAAGGGAAAGAATACTCGGAAAGAACCTCGCAGCACTGCCGTATGTCAGTGGAAAAAAAATATCCAGGCTTTTTGCACCGGTGGCTTGGATGCAGAAGTGGCCAGGGTGAAGCTGACCCACGCCATGGCAAGAGGTGGGATGGGGATGGGCACCGGGCATGTCCTCCCATGCAAACTCCTTTGGGCACCGCTCCCGCTGCCTTGTCAAGCTGTAAATGATGAGCCAACACCTGGCAAGGGCTGGGGCCAAATCCTGCTGCAAGAGTGGCAAGACATTGCCACACCAGCAAGGCGGCTCCACAGATACCAAGACAGACCAGGAGGGAGGAAACCCAGAGCAGATCCAGCTCCAGGAGACCCTGGGTCTGGGAACACTGCTTTCCACCATGGAACATCCATGCACGTCCATCCTGGCCCAGCCAAAAAGTCACAAGGACACACACTCCCAGTTCTTCTCTAACTGATTCAGTTAATCTTGTTGCTTTCATTCTTTTCTGTTCCTTAACGTTTAAAACTGTTTCCAATTTGGTACCTCCCCTAGATTCCTCCTGCCAGTTTCTGTGGTTTTGTAATTTTAAAAAAAAGTTTCCCCTCTGGAAAAATCCCTGCAAACAATAGAAGAAACTGCCTATGCACCAGAAACTGTCAAATGCATGAAGCACTGAGTAAGCAAACTGGAAACACGCCGGAGGAGACCTTTTACTGTTTATAAAGTGAAAAGAAATAACAAAATCTCTTATCCCCTCCACAATATGACATACCAGCTCGAGGTGTTGCTCTCCCAGCAGCTGGGAAAACATGATTTGAGAAGATCTTCCTTCCTTTCCCTTTAAATGAGATTTAAATCAATGAAAACAAAGTGCTGGGATTGGGATCTAATTCAGGGGAGTTACGGGGGCCCAGGGCACCCCTACACCTGTTCCCACGACCACAGCGGGGGCACAGAAAGGCACCTGTGTGCACCACAACCCTCCCTGGGTTTGGCAAAGTGCCTGGAGCCCCCCATCACCCCTGCCCAGCTCACCTGGATGCTGGTGCCCTGCTCGCCCGTGGCCCCCATGCCACCTCCAGCTGCTCGGCACCGCGCTGTGCCCAGCTCCGTGCCCGACTCCGTGCTGCCCACGCTGCCAGCGCCCCGCAGGTGAGCCAGGCTCTGCCACTCCCCCGGCACGCCCCACCCCGCGCCCCCACCCAAAGCCGCCCGTGACGCATCCGTGCCCACACGCTGGGAGGACTCTGGAGCAGGGGATCCCAACGCTCCCCACCATGCTGGAATGGTGGCCTGGGAAAAGCCAGACATCCCAAATGTCTCCTGTGTTTTACAGGGGAAAAACAGAATTGCAAATGATGACCCATCGGAGACCCTTCAGTGGGTCACCGTGACAGGAAACAGGGTCCCTAAATTCTCGTCAGTGCTGAGCAACTGGGGCTTGGGAAGATCTTAGGAGTGGCCTCCACCATGCAGAAACAAGAGGGTGACAGTGACAACAGCATGTGACGTCCCCAGCGCTTGGCACCACTACACCAGGGCGGATGTGATGCTCAAGACAGCCGAGCTGCAGGCAGGGCTCAGCTCTCCTCCATCCCCGTTTTTCCATCCCCCAGTTTTCCTCTCCATGCCCCAGCACAGCTCCTGACCAAGACCAAGTGCTCAACCCAGCAAAGCCCCAAAAGCAAAAACTCCCTGACACAAGCCACAGCACTGCAACCACCCGAGCCACTCCGAGCACCCCATAGCATCCAGCCTGTGTGACAAGCAGGAGGCAGGTCCCAGTGATATACCAGGGACAAAGTAACCGTGACACCAACAGGGGACATCATCACCAGGGCCAGCAGCAAGCAGCCTTAACCCAGTATTACAGGCATGAAGTCCTGCCCTACCTCAGCCTGGCTCACACCCCCCAGCAGACATTATTTTGCCTTCAGCCATTCCAATTTTAGCTCCAACTGTCTGTAAATAAACACCGAGCACCTGAAATACACACCCTTAACACAAAGCACGGTCATTTCTGTACCAGCATCATAAAAAAACCACCAGTGGGCTACACTTATTTTGGCAGAAGCATCCAATTCCAGATATTGAAACCAAAATAGCTGAAAGGTATGAATTAGAGCCAGGCAGCGTGGGCAGCCAGGTTCCACCCATCAGCAAATGAACACACAGCAGTGCTTTTTAAAGCCAAACCAAAATAAGCTCCTGCTAAAACCAAGCAAATGCCCAGAGAGATACAAGCCTAAATGAAAGGGATATGAATTAGCATACAAGGTGTCTGAAATAAGCTCATCACACCTGCATTGGAACGGCCCTGCTGAAGCAAGGTTTAAAATAAACCCGATGTGGGAGGCAGGTCACAGGGGTTGCTGAAGCACCAGGATGGAGCTGGAATCACACGTCCTTTCCACTGGCTTGGCTTCCTCTGGAAAGCTCCTCAAGACGAAGAAAATGCAACAACCAGCACTGAGCAAGACCTCAAGAGCAAAAATTCTCTCTTCCAAGGAGATTTGTCCAGCTTCACATTTAGGGATGGTGCTAGAACAACCTCAGGGTTCCCAGGATGCCTTTGACCATGCAGGGCCCTGCTTGCCTCCTGGCAGCTCTGGTGATATCCAAAGGGCAGCTCCACGTAGTTTCTCCACAGGTAGCAGCCACACAGGGTGCTGAGGCACTGGGTGGGTGGCTTTGCTTTTATCCAGAAGGTACCTGGTCGGAGGGTGAGCCACAAAATGCTGTGGGAAAGCAGAGTGGAAAGCAGCTGCTGATGGAGCTGGGGTGGGGCGATGCTCACCCCACCATCACGTGAGAGGTGCGGCTGGTTTGCAGCCCCACAGCGCCCGGTTCCATCCCTGGGACTGCTGGAGGCTGACTCAGGCAAAAACACCCCCACGTCACCACCCCGCTTCCTGTCACACCCCTGGGAGTGTCCAGGTATTGTATCCCACCTTTGATCCAACGCTGGAGCTGGGCTGTGGGGCACACCAGCACCTCTCCTGCCTCTCAGGTCGCTGTTCCAGCCACTGCTTCCATCCCTTCAGCCCATGGGCCTACAGTGCATCCAGGGGGAGGATGCTGCCGCCAGCCCAGCGCCGGCAGCACGGCGGGTGGGAGGAAGCGGAGAAGGAAGCGGCCCCAGCTGGGTTTACACAAAGCTGTCAGGCTGCTGTGCTGATGCTGCCCAGGCATGGACAAACCACCCCAACCAGCTCCACCAGCACTGGGAACACAATTCCCAGCAGATGGGGAACTGGGCTTGAAGGACGTGCAGGGCCACTCATCACTTCCCAAAGCCCAGGCTGATACAAGAACCCCTGCACACCACCGGGGCCACAGGGCACCCACTTCCAGAGAGCAGGATGGGTCACGGGAGCATGCAGCCCATGAAGCACCAAGTCATTGGGCTGGAGGTGGGCTGTGACACCAACTAGCTGCCTGCTGTGTGGGCTTTCACACCTCCTGTGTTTTTGGTGGTACCTTCAGCTCTTCCCTCCCCATTCAAACCAGCCAGACACACAAGACTCAGCAGAGCCACGCTGTGCTGGCCCCACAGTGCTGCAGGAGTTCATTGCACAAGGTGGAGCAGGAGAGCTGTACCAGCACCCACATCCCCCCTTAGGGTCCAGACTCAACCCCACGGCAGAGTAGCCACTGCCCCCACAGCCAGTGCCCACCCACCCCCACATTCTGAGGGAAGTCCGAATCCACTGCCGGCAGAGACTCCTGGCTCGGAGCGCGTGGCGGGAGGGATAATCTGTTTAGGCTGCCGGCAGACGTAATCAGCCTGTCTCGGGTGGAGGCAGGGCTTGTTTTGTTCAGGCTTGGCAACTGAGCGGGAAGGGGAAGAAAAATGGATTGTTGCATCGGAGCTTTAGGCTCTGCCTCCAGCACTGGGAGCAGGGAGCCCTGTGCACCAGGGAAGTGATGCCAGGGCTTCCAGTAGCCCCACAAAAGAATTATGTACCCAACCTGACACAGGCTGTGGGTGGATCCAAGGCAGAACTTGTTCCATCACCTTTATGGGTCAGCCCCAATATTCACCAAAGGGGCCTCTGCCAGCAGCACCTGCTGTTTCCCACACCCAGGGGAGCACAGCGGGGTGACAGCTCTCATCCAGACCCAGACGGGAGGACAGTAAGGTCATCACTGCCTGTGTGCTGTCTCCTGATCCACTCAGAGCTCCCCAGAAGAAGAGACCCGTTTCTGGCACAGTTCAAGGAGAAAGTCATCACAAATACTGTGGTTGCAACCTCAAAATAGGAAATCTGGGCCGTTCCCACTCTGCTCTGCTCTCAGTTTTGCACACCTTGGAGCCAAGAGAACATCGCTGATGGATGAGTCGGAGCAGCCGTCACTCA